TTATATATATATATATATATATATATATATAAATTTATTATATATTTAACATATATATAAATTTATTTACGCTTAATCTAACAAATATATATCATTATAACTAATTGTATCATTATTTCAAATCTATTGATTTTCTTTCGTTTTCATTAAAAATTTTATTATTCGTTTAATTGTTATTTCATTTTTATTTTTATTCAAATTTTATAAATTTTAAAAATTTTGCAAATTTATTTTAAAATCAATTATAGAATAAGATAGAATAAGATAATAGAATACGAATATTTTAATCAATTATTTCATAAAAATTAATTTTTATTAATAAATATTCTTATAATTTCACTTCTATTAGTTAATTATTTAATATGAGATGATTTAATATAATATAAAAAACAAATGTGGAAACGTGTGGACAAGTGAAGAAAATTGATTAAATCAGACTGTTTACGGAAGTTGCTTCTTACCAATATCACAAGTCGTATCACATTATGCAAATAGATACAAGTATTTAATATGATTTTCACGATACTTAATACTGAAGAAAACATTGGTGAGCAAGATTTTGATGACATCATCACATGGTTTTGAATATTATAGAGGACATGTATTTGTTATTATTGTGTTGTTGCCGAGAAAAACATTATGTGTAGTACATTTAAAATTAAAATGAATTAATTTAGCATCTTGTCTGAATGAATGTCAATATTAAATGATTCTTTCCACTCATATGTTTATCAAAGGATAAAAGATAAAATTTATTTTTTCGAAAACAAAAATGAATAAAATTTTTTTAACAAATTTCTTATATAATTATTTTTTATTATAATTCAAATTTGAATTACAAAATTCACGATCTGATCATTTGTTACTTAACTTAGACAATAATCTATATTTATTAGTCTTTGTAAAAACAATTAGATAAATTTAGATCTACTGAAATGGATCAATCAATATATATATACTTTGCGACCTACTTTTTTGTTGATTTTATCCTGAATTTTCATTGCATTATCTTAATTCAAATATATATTAAAATTATAAAATAAGTTGAATAAAGTAACTAATAATAATAAGTCATTCCAAATATTCTATAATTCTTTAAAATAATTTAAATCAATCTAAATTTTCTTAAACAGAAATAATAATTCATCAGATAAAATTATTAGCAAATTTTCCATGATTATTGTGGAAAAAAATGAGATATTATTTGATTGACATTTCATAATTCTTGCAATCGATGCATTCGTATCGACAATTAAACCGAGTTGAAGACTTTTCATGGCTCTATGTATCTCATTTTTTTTAACTGCATAAATAAATTCCCGGAATCATAGTAATTATCTATCGTGGCTAAATGTATGTACGTATATATTTGGATCCATTAGAAACTGCATCGTATTTCACGTAAGCGAGAGCGTAGTTCAATTGGTTGAAATGCAAACCGATACGCTAAATGAAAATTTCATATAATTCGACAACTTCTATTTTAACGATGTAGGTCAGTGTCTTGCTTATAACCACCGGTTAATTCTTCTGATAGACACCGAAAAAAAATCGATAGAAATGAATTGCAAGTATAATTGGTGGAAGATAAAAGAAAGACTCAAAGTCGAGTGTATCATTACAATTTATAAATAAATTGTTAAGATTTAGAAAGACAGAAGAAAAATAAAAAGTATTTTGTTTTAATTTTCATTTCTTTTTTAAACAGAGATAAAAAAACTGTTATTAGAATAATGTTAACTGTTGTAAAAGTTTAATAGAAAAATAATGTTTAATAGAAAAGTTTAATAGAAAAAAGAATTTTTTTCATGTTATTTAGATGATAATAATATGAAAATATGTTATATGTATAATTATAAAAAAAGATATAAAAAATATATGTAAAAAAAATAAAAAAAATAATGCAAAAGAGTTAGAAATAAAAGTAATCGATTGTTGTAAAAAAAAAATAGAAAAAAAAAATATTTTAATTAATTAAAAAATAATTCGTTAATAAAATGTTAAACATTAAAGCAATGCTAAACATTATTTCATGTTAAATAAGTATAAAATAATATTATAATTAAAATTTATAAATAATTTCAATTTAAAATATAAAATGAAAATAACAATGAATACACAAAATAATAATTGTTATATAACATTTTTATCTTGAATATTGAAATTAAAATTACGACTTAATATTTGTTATATTGTTCCATAACTATTTTATAGACTATAATATTAACTTTTTATAATAAAAACAATTTTTTTATAATATATATTATAAATGATAATAGTATTTGAAGTCTGTATTTCCTTTATGATAATAATAGACATCAATCGACAATGATACGTGCAATCGCCCCTGAGTCATATGTGATATGTTAACAAAACTTAAAATAGAATATTTATTTAAAAAAGGAAAAAAAGTTTTTAGATATAATATTTATTCATAATGAGTTTGAATTTTGATTATAGACATATGATTTATCGAAATCATCTCATCTCAAGATAAAATCCCCCTAGAATCCAATGAAATATATTTCACATCAAAACAATATAATGTAACATTTTCTTTAAATACTTGAATTCTCAATTTTTCTTCTAGATGTCATTCTCTACATGTTGTGAACAAAAATGAAATGAGGTTAGAATTTCATGTCACTAGCAATTATATGTATACGTATATATCGCAGCTGGTCTCGAGCTGTATTTATAACAAATAAATATTAATCTTGCAAAAAAGTGTTTTTCTTTTTAACTTTTTGTTTCAAAAGTGAAAAAACGTTTCAAGAGTAAAAAAATGTTTGAAAAGAATTCTGCATCATAATTCTCCTTTACTATTTCATTATTTCATCATTATTCTTATTTTACATTTCTCTAACGTGAGATAAATAGTTCGCGATTGATTCCCGTGAGTATTCTAAATATATATACGGATAACAAAAAATAATCAATTATTTTTTAATTATTCAGAGTCAACCGAAAGTTAAAAATAACCGTATATTTTTTATGCGAAAGAAAAAAAAAGATATAAGTTATAAGTAAAATTAATTGTTAAGCAAATTTTTTAATGTAAACATTATGAACTAAAACTGAACTATGAATTATATATAATACGAACAATTTCATTCAACTATAAAAGATCAATGTTCGTGAAAGAGACCTGATTCAAATTTAAGCATACAATCTCCAGATGATTCAACTCTGCCTATCAAAGCAATGAAATATTTACACAAGATACAAAATACAATTCATTACTAAGAAATCAGAGATTTCTTTTGTATCGTACAAAGAGCAAGACAATATTTTTTCTTTTCCTTATTTGATTAGTAAAGATATCCTAATCATTTCCATTTCAAAGTTTAAATATCAAAAGAATATTTCAAATATTAATGAAACAATTCATTATTAATTATTAAATATTATTATAAAAAAAATTAAAAAAGATATATCATACGATTTTTTAATAATTAATTATTGAATATTATTTGGTATAGTCATTAGCGTGAAAATAAGAGCTATTCGTGAGCGAAATATTATTATTTAAATATTATTTAAACATTAATATTTAAATTTAAATATTATAAATTATTATACTACAAAATCTTTAAAAAAATTAAATTTATATTATTGTAACTAAAAAAAAAACTCACTAAATAATTGTCAAATTAATATGTCTATTCAGATAAGTTTTATTATTAGCAATTTATAATTTAATTTTTTCATATAAGTACAAAAAATACATTATTATTCAAAGAACATTGTCTGGAAAATTCATATAACAAATGATAATTATTTATATGTTATTATCAATGTTTCTCTTTAAAGTTTTAATTAGCATAAATTATAACTTTTTTTTATTAAACAGAGAAAAATTTTGAATTATCGATTTTTTATTAAAAAAATAATTGTTTTACATTATTATTCATATACATTACATATATTTTATTAAAAATTTAAAAAAAATTTCATTTTTAAATCTCACAAATTCATACAATTGTGAAAAATTTCGTTATATTTAATCTATATTTAATCTATATCACGTTAAATTTAATTTAAAGTCAAATATTTTCATTGTTTAGAATAAATACAGAAAAAAAAATTATTATTAATTCTAAAAAAATGATATGAATTCATGTATCTCAAATGATTACCGAAATTTATATTATATCTATTTCATTAAAATTATCAACGTTACGAAGAATATTAAATCAAATTACATATTTTTACTAATTATAAAATAAAAAAATCTTTTTTCAACTAAATTTTTAAATCATTTTTAAGAATCGAATTCGAAATTTGTTTTCTTTTCAAATCACTTTGATAAAAAATCAATGGAATATCGATACAAGAAAGATTTCTTACTCACCGCTATTATTGCTGGTCCAGCAATCGTGTAGAGTGTGATGTTCTAGATGATCGTTTGATCGATGGCTGTGAAGCGGAGTTGCGCGTCGCGTCTTATCGTGTTATGTTGCAGAGTTAAAAGGCACTGGTCATAAAGGCAACGAGCGTCTGATAGTACGGTCTGTGTTACTACTGTAAGAGCGCGGCTGCGATATTTATGTAGAGAAGCGTTTCGGCGCACGCGTCGCTTACCCCGCGCTCTCGACTGTTGCGATTCCCCTCTTCTAGCTTGAAAGTGATTATCCGATGTGATCGTAGGTCCACTGGATCGTTACATGCCGGAAAATTCTTGTCTGCTTCTGTTACCATGGTACTTGTCAGTTACGAACCATTGACCGAAATTATTCGCGATTCTTTTTCAATGACGTAACTTGAACTTGTCCAAGGTTAAAATAAATCATCACTGATTATCGTGTGGAAGTTTTAACAAACAATTTTTCCAATCCTACTAGATGAATTTTCAAAACGAAGCAACTTCAAGAAATAACCAGATATCGATAAATATCGATAAATAGGTAACTAGTGCAAAATATATTTTTCCCTATTAAGTGAAAATAAGATTAATGAAAAAATTTTTCTTTTTTATCAGCTGTTGACAAATAATATTCATGATGAATTTAAATTACTGTATAATCAAATATATCGTTATGATAATAGTGATTAAAATTTTTGTTTGATATTAACTTATTCTATTTTTACTATTCTCTATAGATATGAGATTATTTATTTTATGTAACTAGAACAATTTATTCCATATTTTTTTTGCTATTATTACTACGTTTGTGTAAGTTATCTGATCAATTTTCATACGATTACATAAAATTAAATATATATTTTCCAATATCATTATATTTGATAACGAAAAACAGTTTTTCATCATTAAATAGATATCTTCAAAATAAATTTATCTTTTTTTAGTGCAATATATTTTATCAACATAAAAAAGTAGAAAAAATAAATAATGACATAAATGACCAAATTATACTTTAAAAATATGTTCTAGCAAGTTCTACAACAATGGAGCTAAAATGATATATTGCATTTTCGTAATTATCGAACAAGCAATAAAGTATTATTCTAATAATAAAAAATATTTATTCTAATAACGAAATATAAAATAGAAGTCATTCTTTATCTAAAAATGAAAAATTTCATAAGATATTTTAATTGATAATAAAATTATTCAAATAATAAAAATTAAGTTTGCTTTAAATATAGAAAACTATTTTTTTTAAATATTTAAAATAATTTAAATATTCAAAACATTCATACAAATTTTAAATCAATTGTTTTATATATATATATTATTTAAAGTAATATAAATAAATTAGATAAATTATTTAAAGTAATTATTTAATTATTTAAGTAAATAAAATTTTTTTTACTCAAATTATATTTTTAATTGTTAAAATAATATGTATTTATTTATATAAAATGAATTAATAATGAAGATATTAATTATATATCACATATTCAAAATTCAAAAAATGATTAAAAGGAATCTTACAAATATAATTAGCAAATTAAATTAACAGTTAAAAAATATATGTAAACTTCTTTAAAATATCATTTGCGAAAATTATTCTGATATAATTACGAATAAATTAAAAGTGTTTCAGTAAGAAATATTTCAAATAAACTATTTTCTTGTTTTTTAAATTTTTATTACTAATTATAATTACTAATTCTAAAATTACTCATGTTTCTCATTTCTCACGAAAATTGACGCTTAAATAAATTACACTTAAATTTCTATCACATATTCTAACAAAATTGAAATGACACGATGTTCTAAAGTTTCACTTATTTAAATAATCACTATAAATATGATGGCTATCGTATAATAATAATTCATATATATATATATATGAAACAAAATCATATTATTTTATAAACAAATGAAAAATATCAGACATAAAAATATTATCGATTAAAAATATAAATAATTGTTTATAAATACATTTATGTGTCTTTCGTCGTATCATCAATAAATAATTGAAAAATTACGTAACTATAACAACGTCTTATCTATATAATTTAATTATATAATCTTTAGATAAGTGTTATTACTGTTTGTTTATTTTGTAAAAAATACATAACAAATATGAATCATACTCGATAAAGTGCAGATTAATGTCAGTTCCAGTGTGGATAAATTACAAATAAAATAGTTCAAAAGAAACGTTCAATAAAATGTATGAAAAAAAATATAAATTATTTTTTGTTCTGTATAATACAGTCACCTAAATTTATAACTCGTAGCGTCATAGCAATCTTTTTTACATATAATATGTACCGTGCAGTTCATGAAAACTGTAAAAAAATATATATATGAAATTTATATTTAATATTTTATGAAATAAAAACAAAAAAATTTTAAGTTTCGTTATCCAAATATTTTATTATGTATGTATGTAAACGTATATTTTATTTGTTTTAAATCTCGATTACAATAGAATAATTTAATTAATTGTTAACGGAATTAGCAATAAAGAATAAAATTCATTAACGAAATTTTGAATGTAAGAACTCAAATGCAAATACATATAAATTTATTATTATTATATTATTTTATGAATTTATTAATTTAAATTCTAGAAAGAAAAATATATTAATTATTAGAATATTAATTAAAGTAATAATACATTCGTTTTTTTTTTAAAATCAATTCTCATATTGTTGTTATATTGTTGTATTATTTATTTGAACATAAAATATAAATATTAATACAAGTGATTGAAATAATATAATTATCAAATGTTAATTTATTTTTTTATATTTGGATCATAAATTCTAGTTCATTTATTCATATTGAATTTTAAATCATTTCTGAATTTCTGATTGTGAAAATGTTTGAAAAAATGTGAATTATTTTTAAAAAATAATTCGTTTAAAAATAAATTATTTAATATTTCGTTTAAATTTTGTTCTTATACATTAGTACTTATATTGCATCATATTTATATTTTTTTATTTTTCTATAGATCATAATCCAAGACAGCAACTCATTTATGTAAAATAAAATTATATTTTTTCTTTTGATAAAAAGTATAGTATAAAAATCTTATTTCAAATATATGTTAAAAATTGAAAAATTTTTGAATTAGCAAGTTCTCCCATTTTATATTATTATTATATTTTTATTAAAAAAAAAAAAAAAATGAAGAAACTTAAATGCTATAAAAAATTTTGTTTCTTCAAAATAAAAATTTTTCTTATATATTCATCAATTCACATGAAATTTAAAATTAAATTTAAAATAGAATTTTTAAAATTTTATATTTTGTCTATTAAATTTTTTTTATAATTATCATTGTGAAATAATTTAACACGGTTATTATTATGGAAATATAATGAATTATAATGAAAAATAAAATTCAATAGGTTTTACTATCTTTATTATTAACAGTAGGAACACATTATTGACATAGAAAATGTAATTTCTGTTAAACAACATGAGTGTGTAAACAATTACTAAAGCTTAAAATGAAGCAAGATAACCGATTTTCTATCGAGAATTGCCTCAATAAAATTAATTAGCATAGAATGATGAAATCATTTAAGTCAAAAAAAACTTTACTTATACGTAATGATAAAAAAAAATAAAATAAAATAAATAATTAAAATGAGAAGTTAATAATACTTTCAAAAAGATTATCATAATTAATACGTATAGGATGATATATAAATCATTTTATAAAAAAATATGAAATATTTTATACAAGAAAAGAATTAAGTTTTCTTAAAATGAATACTTATGTTTGTTATTTGATAAAAAATTATGAGTTATATAATTATACAATATAAATTATATATTTATTATAATAATTATATAATTATATAAATTATATACATTATTGTTAGTTTATTGATTAAATATATTTTAATCAAGATTATCTTTATTTTATCAAATTTACTCAATATTGTTAATGTTATATTTCTTTATTTATTTATTTGGTAATTTTTATTCACTAAAATGAAATAAACAAATTAAATAATGTCATATTTTTTTATATAATAATTTTTTATATAATAAATAAAAACAAAAATAAATAAAAAAATCTTATAATGATATTAAATTATAGAATTTAATTTTATATATAATTAATAATTTAAATGACTTACGTAAATAATTTCTAAAATTTATATTTTTTATTGTTCGATTTAATAATAATATATATATGTATGTATGTATATATCTTAATGCTACATACATACTCATTATTGGTACAATGTAGCCAATTTCATGTAACGAGCAATGATATCCAATTTTATTAATGCTATCTTGACTTATTACATCCTCTCAATTTGCGTCGTTTTTATTATCAATACTATAATAAGCATTTTTTGATATTAAATTCATATTTATTTATTAAATTATATTATATAAAGTTACTTATGTACAATAATAATATATATATTTTTATATTTAACTATATATATGTTATTTATATTATGATAAAATTTTATTTATATAATTTTTAGTTTTGTTAAAACTCATTTCTATAATAAATATATAGATATATATATATTCACGTCCACCCTGATTTATTCTTTCATTTTACATACATTTATTACGAAATAATTCTCATTCAGAACTAATTAAAACACAAATGCAGTATATAAATGTATATTTATGCAGAAACATATCATATTCAGAATTTTTTTGTTTGATATCATTTATTTATTTTATAATATATATATATATATATATATATATATTTTATTTTTAATAAAACACATTGTATTCGTGTAATTTTAATCATGAGATCGTTCGAAAAGTAAATATTGAATTTAAATACATGATTAATTTATTTAAATAAATTATCAAATTAATTAAAAATGAAAGAAAATTAATATTGAATAATTATACTGATTATTAATAATTATTTATTTTAAAGATATTTAATTCGATAATAAATAATTTTATATTATATGTAGTAATAATTAATACAAAAAATAAAATACATTTAAAAATAAAAAATAAATGTTTTTTACATTATCCTTTTTTTATGATATTCCTGAACCAATTAATTTTTCGTTTTAAAAAGAAAGTAATCTAGAAAAAATGTACATAATATAGGACTATCACCTTTAAGTTGACCTACTGAACCGCGATAATCGTTTATATTTAAAGCGTGTACAACGTTGTAGATATGTAAGTAACGTCCTCTACATTATTGTGCCAATCATATTCTGACCCCTTGGTACCTAGTGAATATATATTCCTACTTGTGATTATATAATGATTTAAAACTAGTTTCATGTGGGGTTCCCAGTTAAGAGGGAAGTGATTGAATAACGGATTTCCTTTAGTTATATTGAACATTAGAACATTATATATAAACAATAGATAACATATTATAAACACAGTAAATTAACAATTTGACATAAATTTATTGTCGTGACTAAATTTAAATGTGACTATAATCATAATTATCAATTTTTTTTGTATTATGAAAAAAAAAAGAACGACTTCGATTATTCATTTTAGGACGCAAATGAATAACTACACTGTAATGTTTATTATATATATTTGCTTTTCGCAATTTCTTTTTTAAATACATTTATTAATATAATGCATTTATCATGACTACTACTTTTGAGAAAATAGTATTTTATCCATAAGTAACGACCCTAATAAAAACAGTGTATAAATACACATATTTATATAATAATTGTATATAAAAAAAACTTAAATTCCATACATTAATTAATATTATTTAAATGTGCTAAATCGTTAATTAGATAAATGCATTGCATTATGTATTAGAATTAATCTTAATTTGTAATATATCTTCTATAAGAAACAAAATATTTCACACATACATATTTTACACA